ATTAAATTTAACTAAGTACTACACAAATACAAATAACTTTTATATACGTTTAGTCTAATAAAATTTATAATTCAAAAGTCCACAAATAAGATAACAAGAAAGAACATAAAGATATAGTATTAGTTAAAATTATGATAATTAAATAAAATATATAGATCATAAATAGTACATTACGTATTCTTGCTATTTTTATTTTAGCAATTACTACTGCATATCACATGCTAGCTGCTAGAAAATCAAATTATGAAAATAAACAAAAATATGAACATTTTGCAGTCTACGTAGATCAAATATTGGTCTTGTTTAAATATGTTTCTCTAATGGCTTTGGCTATTATTGGCTTATGTAAAGCAAATGACCTTAGCTTAGTTCTATATTTAGAGATAATTGACATAGCGCCGATTCAAGTTAAGTGTTTGAAGAAAATAAGCTTGTTCGTATATAAGGTCTATGCTTTATATTTAAATATTTTTAAATCAACTTGATTTATTAAAGCATATAGATTTATTAACTATAAATATCAACCTAAAGAAAATTCATTAAATTTTTCATAAAAAAGTTTTGATACAACAGAATTTTTTACAGTTCCAATACCATTTTCATAACAATGACCAACATCAGAATAAGCTTAAATATAATTTCCTGTACTTTTTAGAATATTAGGATGTATAAATTTACTGAAATAAATATTAATCTCTAAAATTAATTATTAACCTGATAAGATTGACATTCAGATAGTTAATAGTATGTATATAAATGTTAATTTCCTTTAAAAACATTTGCTCCGAACATACCTATTGTCAGACTGATTCTTGATCAACTATAAAAAGTGAATGATTTTGATAATATACAAATTGTTGTAAATCTATAATTACTAATATATATCAACAAAAATTATATTAAATATGTACAAATTCCCAATAAATTATATGATTTACTTGTCATTGTTTCTTGTTTTGATAATTACGCAATATATTATAAACTGCGTAACTAAATAAATTTA